GCATATTAGAATGATTTCTGAAGGATCATGTGACACTGAAGACTCCTGAAAATTGAGCTTTGCCATCACAGTAATAATTACATATTTATTCCTGTTTGTATTTACATTTGCATATATTTTATATTTACAAATAAAATGGAAAAATATTTCACAATATTATGTTTTTACTGTATTTTTGATCAAATAAATTCAGCCTTGGTGAGCAGAAGAGACTTCTTTCAATCAATCAATCAATCAATCAACTTTTGAATGGTATGGTACAGTAAATGTGTGTGTGTGTGTGTGTGTGTATATAGTAATTATTTACAGTAAATGTATATATTTATTTATATGTAAGTGTAGTTCTAGTAAACAAACAATATCAACATATGCAAAGCATCTGAAATGTAAACTCCTTTATCTTACAGCAGGTTCATGGAATAAGCAATTAAATCACAGGTTGAATTGTTTAAATAAAACTGATTTAGAAATTAGATAAAATATGCTTAACGGCATCACAATTTTTTAACACAGTTAACACATTTACTCAATCTTCCATAACAGTTTTTGTGTGATTTCTAAATACAATGATGATTCAATTATATTTCATGCTTGCTGAACTTTGGATGTTAATTAAATTCCGTTATATAAAGACTTTGTGCCATCTGGATTTCATTTATAAATAAATCTGCCATTTAATGGGTCAGAAAACACATTGCCTGCATACCAATTTGTACACTATTCATCCTAAATGGTATCTAAAATTGCAGTTTTAAAAAGAGAGTGTTAAATATGCCTGAATGGTCTTCTATTTCTAGACAAAATCATTGAGTCTCACCTAAAGAGTCTTTCTTGCGTTTATGTGGCGGGTCCTCGATGATTCGATTGAGGTCTCCACGGTCTTTCAGATCCACTGGTTTCTCCCATACTGACAGATGCATGGTGGGATTGAAGAAAAACACCCTGTCATCGCCTGTCCACACTACACACCTACAGAAAAGAGAGAGATGCTGTCATGCCTTTATACAGTCGCATACATGCAGGAACACAATCCGACAGACTGTTTGTGGTATTCTCACAATGTGACTAAGAAATCCCGATGATGAAAAACAGTCCCAACAGGACCAGAGAGACCCAGAGAGAGGATTATGGGTCACAAATGACAGCTGAGAACGACTGAGACCAGATGGGCTGTATTTGACCATTTGATACAGATTCTGATGTATTTTTGTCTTCACCAGCTATTTCTTTATTTTTATTTTTTTGGTCGTAATCATCCTTCAGTTACACAAGATTTTTTTAAATGGATAAAATCCACAATATGTCCAGCATCAAGTATCTACAAACATTTTAGTTGTATGCCATCAATAAAAAAGTAGCCAATTTTTCAGATGTTCCGCACTAGATATTCTTACCTTACAGTGATAATTTAAGACCCATTTCAGCCTTTATTCAGAGCATATCGGATAAAGTATTCATGGATTTTGCCATGGTCTGTGAGGTAATTTGATACAACCTCATGCCAACCATGACAAACCAATCCTGACATTTCATTTTGCAACCCCATTGCATCAGGGAGATCGGCAGTGCCTTCCTGTACCATAAAACTGACCCAATGATATTAAAAAATCTTTGAAACGGAGCATCCGCTCTGCTCATATGCAGTTATTCATAGTGCAAACATATGGTTGGCACTAGACTCATGCTTCATTTGTCTTTCCATTAATATTGCAGGGATTCTTGTGTTTTAAAATCATTTCCATGCAACCTCCATATAAAACAATATCTACAAAATTAACTTTAGAAGCAAGAGCTCTACCCAAAGGACCATTTTATTGCTTAGAGATTTTTCTTTAATGGCTTAGGAGATGCAAAGTAGTGTATTTTTTTTCCATGCTACTTTCTTCTGCCTTTCTTCTATCCCGACTTACTATGCAGAACAATTATAAGGTATTCGTACGTCAATTGTCCCCAAAAAATGCAAAACACCATCATTTTGTGCCACTATCCAACTTTAAATTTATCTTAAAAGTTTATCCTACAAAAAAAAAAAAAAAAAAAAAAAATAGAGACAAATAATACATTTGACATAGGTTTAGAAAAAGCAGAACATAAACAAGCAGGGTAGTCTGATTTGCAAACAAATTAATCTTATGAAACGATACTTGTGAGTGAATCAGAAACATACAGCACAACAAGTCTAGTCCGATTCACAAGCAATTGACTCTTATGAACCTGTACTTTTAAGTGAACCAAAAACATACAGCACAACCAGCATAGTCCAGATCACAAGTTCTTAATACTGAATCAAAAACACACATCAGCGTAATCAGTCTAGTTCAATATGGGATGACTCTTATGACCCCGTGTTTTTTAAGGAATAAAAACATATAGAACAACCAGTGCAGAACAACTTGATCAAAGCATACAGCATCCAGTGCAATCCCGTTCACAAACAAACGGCTCTTATTTTATTGGCAAATGACTCTTTTTTTATTTTTAAAATTAATATTTTTGCAATATACCAAGGTTCCTTGTGCAATTTACAGGATTATAACTGGACTATGCCCAAGTTAATCAGAATTGAATCAAATCAGAACATTTGAATCAGAATCAAACTCCTTCTTCCGTTTTTAACAAAAATCTCTATGAAGCACTGTCAAGAGCATGCCAAACCAACAGGTGGCGATATAATCTCAACCGTTAAAGCCATGTTGACCAATCAGAAGCCTGAAAAAGTTTCCTGTAGGCGGAGATAACAGCGCAGGCTCCGACGTCACAAGCCAAAAACTCCAGTTTCGTTGTCTACACGATAACACTGCAACCGGAGTTTTTGAAAATCTTCACCCTGGCAGGCGTTTTCAAAAATGTTCGGTTTCAGTGACCTGGTGCTGCGTTTGCGTGTGGACGAAATGTCGAACCCCGTAGAAAAAGCTGCGGTTTTAAAAATAACCGCATTCGTTTGGACAGGGCCTTAGATCAGATGTACTCATATAGTTTCAGACATTATTGAGGTCTCTTCTAGAACTCTAGATAAAAATGATATCTGAGCAGTTGGAGACTTAAGCAATATTCTCAATTTGCTCTCCATTCAATCAAATTTTTTGTCAGAACCACTATGGTCAAAATGATTGACACTCTGCATACAGTTTGGATTGGCGGTATGGTTCTGTTCTGGGTAAAAACTCCCCGCTCATCCGTGCAGCCTGTCATGAAGGAGCAGGGAGAGCAGCAATAACACCCCCAGGGTAGACAGAACAGAACCGAATGCAGATATCATTAATGTTCTTAATGACATTTTAGTGTAACAACATTATTAAAGATAAAAGGAGCCTGATTCAGCAATGAATATTAGAAAGCCAAGTCCTGACTGTGATGAAAGGAGGAGTTGAGGACGGAGGAGGGTAATTTGCTCCTGAGCAAGCGATTAAGCTGCTGAATAATACTGAAAAGACCTTATATAGGAATGCCGTGATAGGGGTCGTATTCCTATAGGTAGACGTGGGTCAGCTGAGTCAGATGATGCAAGCTTGACTCACGTGACCTGCCAGAACTAACGCTATGCTTGATTTTTGTCTAGAAATATTTGAAACACTATAGAGATCTCATTTGATCTTTCCTTTGGGTTTACATTCTAAAATGGGTTTTAGACATTTTAAAACATTTTTTTATGTACCACAGGAATCTAACCAACATCCCTATCTGGATAATCCCACAACAGCTCCAATTCTGGTGTCATCAACCACATGTTAAAAGTGTTTAACAGTGAAGAGTGTGTGAGTCAACAAAAGCTGAATGTGATAAGCCATGACTCCTGCTGGGCTTCAAAAATGTGTGTGTGAGTTTGTTTTGCAGTGAAGGAAAGCCCACACTGCTTTGGCAGAGAAAAATGGAAGTCTTGCATAACATGTCGTCCTAATGCAGGTTTTCGATTGGGTGTTAGTGCATCTGTTTAGCGCTGGAGATTTGCCATGCGCACTTCTGTATTTTATTCAAGCATTACTGTCATCAAGCAGTTATAAAGCGGCATGCATCATTTAAATAGTGCTAAAGCTGCTGACATTTATGACAGAATGAGAGGAGATAAAACAAACATCTTTGTCACTATATAAGAACAAACTGGCTATCAAAACACAGGAGAAAACAGCACACTTACAACAGTGGCATTTGAAAGTGTAGGTTGACACAGAGACAATTGCAAAAAACACAATCGATCGGTCATTATCTTGCTTGCAGAGAGTCATTTATTAGAAATAAAGATGCATCAAATTGATGGTAAGCCGTACAATCATATTTGCACAGACAAAACGGATAGTTACCATGGTGATCCAGGTATAGGCTTGGATGCAACCGGCCGCTTGTCTTTGAGCGAACTGTCCTCATCCATACTGACTTTAAAAGGCTCATCCTGGACACACATACAGAAAGGATGTGTCAACTTGACATGAGGGCATCATATATATATATATGGAAAAAAAAAGTTATCAAATTAATTTAATGAAATCAAGAAATCAATGCCTAATCCTGAGTAATACACAGTTTTACAAGAGCATGGGCAATCAAAAACTTAAAAGTATCAGTAAAAATAGCTCTAATAATCAAAAATCGATTGTTTTAGTCAATACTTGTGTGATTTATGTAGTTTTATGCTTATCAGAGTATCATATTTTTATCTTAGTATTATATGCAGATTGTTTCAAATTGCTTCTGAAATCAAGTCACTCAATTCAGTTTGGCGGCAGACAGCGAGGCTTTAAAACAGAGCGCATATGTTTGTTTTTTTCTACTCTGTAATCATGCAGGCAAAGTGAACCTCAATTATCTCACACTAAACATGGGTTACAAGGCTAATAATAAAATATAGTGTTGATTATCCACCTGCTAAATGATGTAGATGTGTTCAGCCTTGAACACACACTCAGAAAACAACCAATTACCCAGTCCCTGCATGACCGAATGGTGCAAATGACTGATTCTCTGAATAAGTTCGGACAGCAGGCTTGCACACTCTTTACGGTCAAATGAATTACCGTTCTGGGGGAATTTCACTAATTAATCTAGCTGAGAAGATTTTAAAGGCCGTCACCTATGGGGGACTCTGTGGTGAAGCACACTTCAACAAAAGCGATTATTAACTCAAACTTAATTGGACTCCAAATCTGATTGTGCCCACAGTCTGACCTTTTCCACAAATCAGTTCGATATTCTTTCTGCCTCTAAGACAATCCAAAACAATTTTCATGAGGACCAAAGTCTGGCAACGAACAAACAGTATGGCAATGACAATTATGTTGATGTAGCCTATAACATGTTTTTAAGAATCAATTACAGCTAATAAGAGAAAGATGAGGATTACAAACCTCAGCTTTAGCCTTTGGGTTTGGATCACGGCGGAGCACTAAGGCGTCTGTGCAGGATGGCTTCTTCAATTCCAAAATCTTATCTGAGGACAGAGATAAATGCTCAATACCCCCGGGAAGACAAAATTCATATTATTTATTCAAACAATCAGTGCCTAATTAATAGTAAATTTAATTCAAGTAAAACATTAAAAGACAATTCATGTTCACTTCATCTACTAATCAAATGGTGGTGGCATCTAAATTAATCAATGAATTCCCATAATGAAAACATCAGTTTAAAATCAGTTTACTGAGATATATTTCATTTTGTCTTCTGTTTTAAGCTGAGCTATCATCAAGAAAAGAGGGGCGCCTTCATTTGCATATATGAATACATGTCTTTCAGTTATAAGTATGCTGATGTGTATATATTACAGTATTCTTCACTGATTGACTGCAATTCCTTAGCTTTCTATATATATATATATATATATATGTGTGTGTGTGTGTGTGTTTGTGTATTGATATTTATAAACAAAATGTTTCCAAATCAGCATATTAATTAATATATTAATATTAATTAATGATTTCTGAAGGCTACTGTTATTTGAATGTTTAATTCATTGTGTTATTTGGTGTTTTGTTGTAATTAATTTTGAAACTTGCTAGCAATTTCTGAGTGAGAATTGTTTCTACACCTTTTTTTCCCCACAGAAACAGTGTACTACATTGAGTACAAACAATGAAATGCTATTTGCTCTTTATGAATATTGACAGAACATTCAGAAAATCAATAATGTATTACAAAAAAAAAAAAATCACATTACAAGCAACATCAAAAAGTTATCAAAAGACATTGCAACACATTCTGAACCTCAAGATTCTAATAACAACCACCTAACAGTGTCACACTCGGGACAAGGAGGCAAACAGGCAGAGTATATCAAAGGATTAGTGTTTATTAACACAACGGAGAAAATGCTTCCAACAGAAAGGGATCAACTTAGAATAACTGGAAGCTGAGAACACAGTCTTATCTGGTGTGGAATGCCAGTTCCTTGGTCGAGAGCAGAAGAATCCTAGGCTTTAGGCAGGCAGGCAGGAGAGGGACCCGAGTTGAGATGCTTGTAACCTCGAGACCAGCCGATGAGTGACTGAGGTGAGTGTGTATTTGACTGGTGTGGTAAGTGGGTGCAGGTGTCCGTGATTAGTAATCGGGTGATTGTGAGCGGGTGTAGGAGGCTGATTCGGCTGGTGAGGCAGGTGTTTCCGTGACAGCTATAAAGTCACATTTGAATATATAAAGTGATAATTGTGAGAAATTATTGCACATTTTGAGAAATAAATCATGAGATATAAAGTTGCAATTATGCGAAATATATTCACAATTATTTGATTATTATTATTATTATATAAAGTGACAATTGTGAGAAATTATTACACATTTTAAAAAGTAAATCGTGAGTTATAAAGTTGCAATTATGAGGAATATATTCAAATTTATTTTATTATTATTATTACTTTTAGAAGAAATAGGCTTCCATAAATAGAATTATGTGTCAACATTTTGCGAAAAACAAGTATCTACAGAGTTCTGCATATGCAGATTCCATGTGGGTCTTGTCATGAGGTTAATGTCAAAATTATGTTTCAAACAATGATGAAGCACATTGTTTATGTGGGACCACTTACAAAAAAATAATCATTACTTTTGTTCAAAGCATAATTATACTTTCACAATTGACAAAACCTGGAATTCCAACAAACCACATCAATGGTAAAATCAATAAACTGACTGAGGTTCCTAGGAGGCGGAAGAACCCTCGCCAGACCCTGGATATGAACTGCGGGCCTCTGTCGGAAACAATGTCTTCCGGGAGACCAAAGTTCCTGAATACATGTTGGAAGAGGGCTTCTGCGGTCTCCAGGGCAGTTGGTAATCCACGTAGTGGAATTTGCAGGATTTGGAGAACCGGTCGACTACTACTAGAATGGTCGTAAAACCGTTCGAGGGAGGTAAGTCAGTGGCGAAGTCCACACCCAGGTGGGACCAGGGCCGGCGAGGGATGGGTAAAGGAACCAGTTTACCCTCGGGCAGACGTCGTGGCGTGGTGGAGATGGCACAGACCGAACATCCCTTGATATACCGGGCGACATCTCGGGCCATGTTGGGCCACCAGTAGCGGTTCTGGAGGAGCGAGAGGGTTCGGCGGCTGCCTGGGTGTCCCGATCCCGGAGAGGCATGAACGGAGTCCAGAAGGGTCACACGTAGGGTGGATGGGACATAGTGCTTCCCTTCTGGACCTCCCGGCAGAGCGGGTTCGGCGAGAGTGGCGGCACGGATCTGATCGGTGAGTGCCCACTGAATGGGAGACATGAAGACTGATGGTGGCAGGATGACTTCTGGTTCTTCGGGGGTAGGATCTGGCTGGTGTTCGCGGGAAAGTGCGTCCGCCCGGACATTCTTGTTACCGGGTCGGTAAGTAACTATGAAGTGGAAGCGGGTAAAGAATAAGGCCCAGCGGGCCTGCCGGGGGTTAAGGCGTTTGGCCTCACGGAGATATTGGAGGTTTTTGTGGTCGGTGATTGATTCAAAGTGTGATAAATTAGAAGAGCACTTATGAGGCATACAAGATACATCAGGAGTGATCTGGATAGTACTCACCCCTGGGCGTGGTGGACGAATGGGACAGGTGCGGAGCTGATGTGCATTAGAACCGCAGTAGAGGCATAGTACCCAGGTGAGTCGTCGAGATCGCTCCGTGGATGATAGATGGTAACCATCCGTGATCATGGGCTCTGGTGCTGGAGATGAAAGGCTGGGTGAGGCAGCGGCAGCGGGTAAAGATTCCCTATGGCAGGCGGTGAGGTGTTGGGAGATGCGAACCGCCTTTTGAAGGAAGCTGTCGAGCCCCACGGTGTCGTCGTAAATGGACATCTGTTGCCGCAAAGCGGGGTTTAAGCCTCGGCGGAAGGCAGAGAGCAGGGCAGCCTCGTTCCAGCCGCTGCTGGCGGCGAGAGTGCGGAAGCGAAGCACGTAATCATGGATAGATAAATCCGCTTACCGCAGTTGAAACAACTCCTCCTGCACGGTGACCTCCGTGGTCGATTGGCCGAACACCTCCCGGAAATGCTTCACAAAGCCGTCTAGTGAGTGCACCCACGGGCTCTGCGAATTCCACAAGGCTTCGGCCCATTGCAAGGCTCTTCCCGATAGTAGCGAGATGATGAAAGACACCTTACCCCGCTCGGACACAAACAGGTGGGGTTGCATTTCCAGGTAGAGGGAACATTGCAACAAAAACCCGCTGCAGGAGGCTGCCTCACCCGAAAAGCTAGCTGGCCGGGCCATGGGACAGGCGGGTGGGTAGGCAGTGACAGTCCGATCGGTGAGGGGTTCCGGTGAGGAGGTGGTCCGAGAATCCATGACTCCAAGTTGTATTCCGTTTGTAAAGGGGCTGGTCTTCTGTCACACTCGGGACAAGGAGGCAAACAGGCAGAGTATATCAAAGGATTAGTGTTTATTAACACAACGGAGAAAATGCTTCCAACAGAAAGGGATCAACTTAGAATAACTGGAAGCTGAGAACACAGTCTTATCTGGTGTGGAATGCCAGTTCCTTGGTCGAGAGCAGAAGAATCCTAGGCTTTAGGCAGGCAGGCAGGAGAGGGACCCGAGTTGAGATGCTTGTAACCTCGAGACCAGCCGATGAGTGACTGAGGTGAGTGTGTATTTGACTGGTGTGGTAAGTGGGTGCAGGTGTCCGTGATTAGTAATCGGGTGATTGTGAGCGGGTGTAGGAGGCTGATTCGGCTGGTGAGGCAGGTGTTTCCGTGACAAACAGCTGGCAGGCAAATCAATGAGAAAACAACACACTGAGACTCTCATTAATGGTAGAAACCATTATACACTACGCTGTCAGTCACTTCTACATAAAGAGTTTGAACACACTCAAACTCAGTCTAGCCCAAAATAATTTTAACTTTATCTCCATGGAAAGGTATGGAGATGAAATTAGATGTGGCAAGCATAAGGTGGAGTGCAAATCAAATGCGCTGCTTGATCTTTTGTCCTGCATGAAATTAAACTCAAACAGGCTGCAATACTGAATTCAGCAGCTTTGGATAAAACAACAAAGAAAGTCAGGGAGAAAAGCTCATGCTCAGAGGTAGGAATAGTATTTGCTAAATATTGTTTTGATTCTACACATATACTGTAAAGTATATGGCATGCAAACAATTAATTCTGAGAGGAAATACAAGTGGTTAACTTGAATATACATTTGAAAAATTCAATTGCAAATGAGGTTTGAGAGAGAGAATGACTGCATAAATTTCAGTCTTTTCCTCACACAAAGCAGCCAAATGACGTCAGAGGACTTGAATATAGTGATAAATGTTAGATGGCTGAACCTGGCTTTTTAAAGGATCTCTATAACAGTTCAGACAAAAACGGCATGAATTTAGCATAAACTACTGTTCAAAAGTTTGGGATAGTTAGGAAGTGTTTAAGAATGTTTTAATGTTATTATTTTTGAAAGAACTTTCAGATGCTCAATCTGTGTGGTGAATAGTGGAATCACAAGCTGTTTATTGTTAAAACGTGCTAGCAAGAACTAAAACATGCTTGCAACCTATTAAAATATGATACAAACGTTAAAATATGCTATGCAACATTGCAAATCATGCTGGAAACATGCTAGCAATGTGTTAGAATATGTTAAACGTGAACAATTTGTTAAAACATGCTAGCAACTTGTTAAAATATGCTACAAACATGCAAAAATATGTTAAAACATGCTAGCAGTTTTCTACAACATGTTGACAACATGTTAAATCGTGTTGGAAACATGCTACCAATGTGTTCGAGCATGTTAAAATGTGAATAATTTGTTAAAACATGCCAACAATATGGTAAAACATGCCAGCAACATGTTAAAATATGCTACAAACATGCTAAAATGCGTTAACAACATAAAACATGCAATGCTAGCAACTTGTTAAAATATTCTAGAAACATGCCAGCAACATAAAACATGCTAGCAACTTGTTAAAAATACTAGCAACTTGCTAAAACATGCCAGCCATGTATGCTAGCAACTTGTTAAATATGTTAGAAATGTACTAAAACACTGTGCAATGTGCATTTAGCAATGTGCTAAAACATGTTGACAATTTGCTAGAACATAGAGCCAAACATTTGCTAAAATATGCTACCAACATGTTAAATCATGCTAACAAAACATAAGAAACTTCTAGCAGGTCTTTTAAAGGTCTGGTTTTGTGGTTTAGCAGTCTGATGAGTTCTAATAGGGTTTTAAGTATGGTCTGAGTTTTTATTGGCCTGCCTGACTTTTTCAGACTGAGTATAACCTCCAAACTTTAAGCTTTTAAAAGTTATTTTAAACTTTGAAACAAGCCAATATCAAAGTGTGTCAACAAACTTGATCCAGTTTCTTCAAAAAACAAAATAAAACAAAAAACCTTTTGAACGGTAGTGTATGTATACAGTTAAAGGGGGCATGGGGGAACAGCTAGTAATGGATTACTTATAAAACAACTAGCACTGACAAATCCTGATTAAAGTTGGATGAAACTGTTCTGGCCCCATAGCAACTCTTTGTATTAGAACAAGCAACCGCTTTGCAATAAAGGCTGAATGAAGATTCTGTTTGATTTATATCAGTCATCATCACAGAGCTGGAAGCATTGATGGGAAACCTCTCATCCACGCCTACACAAACCATTCATCTGTTTCTGTCAGCGCAGATACTTCCGAGGCACGCTTCCACTCTGAGGTCTTACGTAGATGTAAGACAATGGAGAAGACTATCTGTGTGGCGACTAGTTGAATCACAAGCTGTTTATGCAGCGATAAACACAAGGCTGCTGTCCAAAATATGTCACATAGGGAATACAGACCATAATGTAGAAGGAAAGAATACGATGGTTGAACATTGCTGGACATGTCAAATCTGGTCGGTTTGGTTGGCTAGAGTGTGCATACTCAGATCTGTCTTGTATAAAATGCAATAAATTTCACGAAGACGGGAAAAGCAGGTTAAGAATACTTACCTGTCATCCTTTTCACCAGCAATAAATGTGAAAGGCTATATAGTGGATGTCATTTAATTAAAGTCTCCATTAGAAGTGCCTGCAAGGTTGGTATTTTTGCAATAAATGTAAAAAATAAAAAATAAATAAAAAACTGATGCAATTTAGAAGAAAATTCCTCACTTCAGAGATGGTGCAGTTACTCTATTAAATAAAAATGGCCTAGGCTGGAATAAAATTATGCTTTCATAAAAAGGTTATTTTTATTCTAAACAAATATATAACTTATGATGGCTCTGTCCATTGTTAGACAGGTAGAATAATGTTCAAAACTTCTCTACCTGATGATCTTATTTATAGGTATTTTTACTTAAAGAACATACAAATACACAAAGGCTGCATTTGTTTAATAAAAAAAAATACAGTCAAAACAGCAATATTATGAAATATTATTACAATTTAAAATAGCTATTTTCTATATTAATATATTTTGAAACGTAATTTATTCCTGTTATGCAAAGCTGAATTTTCAGCATCATTACTCCAGTCTTCAGTGTCACATGATGTTTCAAAAATCATTCTAATATGCTGATTTGCTGCTCAAGAAACATTTTATATTTATTATTATCAGTGTTGAGAACAGTTGTGCTATTTAATATTTTTGTGCAAACCGTCATATATATATATTTTCTGGATTCTTTGACCCCACACTTTTGAATGGTAGTGCACAAATACCTATGAATACTAATGAAATCACGTTGGCATACACTACAAAAGCAATTGTGAGAATGCTGCTTAAAATTTTATTATATTATGTGTTTTCTCACCTGTTGCTCTTTGCTTCTTCCAGTTTCCAGTAAGTAGGGTCACTCCAGGAGCAGAGAGTGATGTTACTGCAGTAATCTGAGAGGGCAGGACGGGTCCCAGAAAGCCTTCCCAGCTGCTCCGTGTTCCTGTATACCATAAAGGGAAAATGGAAGAGCATTTTATTATGCATGAAGCATGGAGAAAGACAGAGAATGACAGACTGGTAAGGCATACATTAAATCCAACTAGTTTATAGTTTATGTATATAGTTATAGTTTATATGTTTATATAAAAATACACAAACATTATGCAGTACAAATCAGTCTGGCTATCCATTTTCTACAAGCCAATAAGGCTATGGATTAAATTCACAAATCTCAAACCCTGCATAGACAAACCTACAGGAGGACAATCAGCAATATAACTCCCTAGATCCTGTTGTTTTCATCATTGGAAATCAAAAGAGCATTTCATTTTACTCTCTAAACTTATTAAACTGATTAAAGCTTCAATCAAAAGTTCATCTGACTGTTTAAACACTGAAAATGTTGGAAGAGGCTCGAGGCTTTTTCTCATCAACCGGGCCATATTTAACCTTTAATTTTCTAGCGTATGTCCGAATTCTGCTCAACAGACTCTGCTTGTTCATAAAGGTTAATTACATTTGGTTTCAGCTCTGGGCTGGGAATTGCTGAAATCCAGAGGGGTTGACAGATTGTCAAGTTGAATATGTATGTGCCATTTCCACAATGTTCTGTTGTGATGTTCTGCTTCAAAAAAATGGTTGAAGTTACCAAGCTTTTCGGATTGTAAATGACATTGCCCTTTCTCTTTCTGTTGTTGCCCTTTTAAACCACAAAATAAAAAAGATGTTAAAAGGTGTAAATTGAAAGAAATTATACTAAAAAGAAAACATAATAATAAATATATTCAATAAAATAGTAAAATAAAATAAAAACAAACAAAAAAATTATATATATATATATATATATATATATACAAAATATTTAACAGTGATAATACTAACAATAAATAAATAAAATAATATATAATCAATTATATAATATATAAAATATATAAAATAAAAGAATAATATTTCCTCAATACAGTCGCAGGCAGTGTTATATTAGTACCATTGAGATACTAGTTTGGTTTTTATTAATATTTTGAAATAAATGTAAATATATATATATATATATTAGGGGTGGAATGGTTCAACTTACGGTTCAGTTTGTATCACGGTTTTAGAGTCATGGTTTCGGTATGGTTTGGTATGTGCTATGTTTAGGCAAAAACTATACTGTCAAATAAACAAAAAAGAAAGAAAATAAGAATAATCTATCTAACTACAAGCAACAGCACAAATAAATACAATAGAGTAAAGATACAAATAAAATAAACAGTGATTTTCAGTTTTTTTTAGGTAGGTCTAACATTAGTTTTTAGGTACAGAAATTGAATAAAGTAATGAAATGTAAAACAGCATTGCATATTTGACTGTATAAATTAAAGATTAATCTTTATTAAAGTTACAAAAGCTATTCAATCAAGAGCAGTGAGTGATTTCTTTGTTGTTGCTGTTTGATTAATATTAAGAAAGTGCTGTCACTTTAAGAGAATGCACTGATACAGTATGTTCAGCCGGCTATGTCTGCTATAGGATACTTACCAAGACGGGCATTTTGACATAATTTTTGTGTGAATTTGTCCATTTAAACACAATACTTAAGAGAAAGCTTAATATTTGCGCGCTTCAAATGAGCGCATGCACAAATCCTCTCGCTATCAGCACCCCGGTGATGACGGAATAAATGCTCATACTCCAGCATACCGCATTCGCATTGAACAAAAGTGAATGGTTTGTCCACGTTTGGTTACACTTTACTTGAAGGGGTGTGCATAAGACTGACATGACACCTTCATAATCATGACATGACACCTACATAATCATGACATGACACATGTCATGAATATGAAGGTTTTTTATGCATGTTTATGACAACTGTCATTAAGTGTCATTCGCTCAGTTATGTAATTTTTAATGCAAAGATGACATTGTCTGAGATGTCTGTTATGGGCTATGGTTAGGGGTAAGGGTAGGGGTATAGGTTAGGTTAGGGTTAGGTCAAATAATGTCATATTTGCATTAAAAATGACATAACTGAGCGAATGACACTTAATGACAGTTGTCATAAACATGCATAAAACCTCCTTCATATCCATGACATATGTCATGTCATGATTATTAAGGTGTCATGTCAGTCTTATGCACACCCCTTCAAGTAAAGTGTAACCCACAACACTTTTACAGTTGTCATGTATTGGGAAGCCAGAATACGCATCCATCAACAAAAAGCATATATTAGCCGAACCCTGTTTGTTTTACGCGTTATTGATAGCAAACCATGTCACCGATGCGTTGTCAGATTTAAGTTGAACCACGGTCCTAGCACGTGCCGAACTGTGTGTGGAGAACCGTACGGTTCGACTCTGCTGCATTGGGTCCCGCGATAGTGCAGGTTTCTACTCGGAAGCCTGTTATAATGTTATGATCGAGGCTCTGGACTCTGAGCATAACTTGTTTTTCTATAACAAAGTATAAAATATTTTCTATAAAAACGTTAATGCCCTGGCAGTGGCAAATAGCTTTGATTTTATATTTAATTTGATTACATTAATGTTATAAGTTGAGATTTACAAGAAATATTTTAACTGCTACTATGTAAAAGGAATACTGCTGTAAAAAAGCACCTTATTTGTTTAAAGTGTTTGCAAACCAAATGTTATTGCACTTTTGTTCATATAGCAGTACTTTTAAATGAAAAAAAGTGCACAATACACTATTTTGAATTCATTATTGAATTGTGTGCATAACAATGCAATTAATCGCGATTAAAAAATGTAATCGTTGCCCAGCACTAGTATATCATTTTATATTTTATTTTTTGATTTTTGTTTTAGTTAGCTATAATAACCCTGGTCAAAGAATACATGTAATTGAAAATATGTATTATTTACAGCTAGACAAAAATATATATTTTAGTTTATGTAAATGAGATAATATTTATTTATTTATTTATTTTAATTAATTAATTATCCATATGAAATGATGCCTTGTTTGGCAAGTTCTCCTCAAAATCTAACTTTAAATGTGGAAGACATTTGTTATTATTTCTGACTCTGGAACCTCAGTTCATTATAAAAGAATATCAGTCACTGTTGTGTCCTGTCAGTTACTTTTTTGAAAAGATGTATTGTGCATTATGGGAGTTAAATGAAGAGGGAGATGATGAGATCTGCTCATTAAAACATTTAATGATGCATGAACTCATGACTTGCATCTGTTCGCTGAAAGAATATGGCTGTTCTTGCTATTACTTTCTGATCTGGGAGACACACCGACAGACAGAAACACACACACGCACGCACGCGCACACACACACACACACACACACACACACACACAAATGTTGGATTGATAACCTTGGGCAGCTATAGATCATTTCTACACTTCATGATATCTGGCTTGTCTCTAATGTATTAACTTTCATTTATTTCACTCAAAGTTACATATGTTGTGAGGCCTGAGCTGTTTGAGGACGCGTCTTGCACATATCTCATCAATCTTGAATTAGCTGCTTGTCTAATGTATAAAAAGATGAGATCATTTAATGAGATCAGGCACAAGGGTCTCAGTAAAAAGATGTCTTCCAGCTTAGTCATTAAATAATTAAAAGTGCATGATCAAAAACCTACCAAATTAAAGCTACCAAAATCAACAACTAGAGCGTAGGACTCACTGTCTCTGCTCTCCCGTGGCTAAATTACGACATGAGCTGGAGCAAACGATCTCAATTTTCATTTTTGGGTGAGCTGTCCCTTTTTTCTTCTCGCTTTGAGGATAAAAAGGATGTATTTGCTCATAAAGGTTTAGAGGCGTCCTGTATAAACCCATCTTCGCCCTGAACCAAGCGAATCAAAACAGGGTTAATCGGTTGATATGACTCTTGGGAAGGTTAAGAGACTTGGATGCGTTTTGATGTCAGGACTGATGGGATAGAGGGTGACAAGAGGACATTATCTGTAATCTGTTGTTATGAACCCTGCAAACATGTCCCTGCGGGCCCATGCTGGCCTTTTGCAGGCACAGTGGGCTAGGGCCAGCCCACTCCAAACCTAAACAGGCCCAGTGCGGGCTTGCCCAGGTGAGGCCGACAGCTTTGTGCTCACCGCAGGCTCTCTGTGAGCAGCCTACACTATGGGACTGCCCACATTAATCCAATGATGGCCCAGTGTGGGCCAGACATGAGCCTGTTAATAAGAATTTTGTGGGCAGTTTTCTTCCTTACCACTAGGGGTGCTAGGGTGTTTTAGGTTTCCTTAAGTAAAGCCATGTGGTAGAGAGAGTTAGCAATAGCAAGCA